CCCCTGGGAGAATTGATCATGCCACACAGTGAGACAGTTTTTCCATTCTCAATGCGTGCAATCAATACTCCCAAGCATGCCGACAAAGCCGTGTTTAGCGGCATGCCTTGCCTGTAACTGCTGAATGTCGCTCGTTGTAGGCTTGCGTAAATATCTTTTATGATGAATTTGAATGATAGCTTCAAAAAATTTATAAACACAGGATCTGATGCTCTGAGCAGACATCTTCAAGTATTCGTCAAACATATCAGATGGCGTCACGTACGCCATCTGACGGAGCGCGGCAATGTACTTCGGGACACTACTAAACCCGCGTCGGCCTCTCGTATCAAAGCGTTGGGTGAACCAAGGAACCTCGCGTTAAACATCAGTGAGTATGCGTAAAAAGAGAGAACGACTCATCCGAAAACGATTACTAAAATCCTTTGGTGTATAAACAAATGGAGTATTAAAGTAGTCGTTTAGAAGTGAAGCGTGGGCGGCCCCTCGTTCCCGGTTTAAACGTTGTCGTTGGGTCCGTCATAGGGAGGATTCGGCTTCTTCTTCTTCGCCATCTTCCCACCATTGAATACAACTCATGGCAAAACAACGAAAAATGAGAGTTCTTTTATCATTGTCGGATGAAGATGATCCCATTTTTAAAATATATTTCATAAATATTTATAATAAATAATAAATATTTTAGATGGAAGATAGTGAGAAATGTGTAAGAGAGAGATTTTTTAGGGGAATTTATAGGGTTTTTTTAAATTTTGAATTGGGGGGGGGGGGGTAACGGCTAAAAAGAGGAGAAGGAAACACGTCAAACGAATGACGTTGTGCGTCTCACGCCCGGATGAAGCCCATGGGGGCGGTGTTTAACGCCCCCTGGCGTTAAAATCGTCCATCACGCCCACCGGCGTGAAGACCATTATGTTAATTTGAGTATCGCTAATTAGGAACTTTTTTACTCCTCTTTAGAAGATATATTTTCTTATTTTGGCAGCAAAATTAGAATAAATGTGTCTTTCTACCCCTATTTTTATCTACATTATTTACTTTATATTATCACTTTTAGGACAAACTTGGGAAGTTTTTGCACTTTAAAATTTTTTTAATCTCTACGCCAAATCAAACCGGAAAATAAATTTTTAGACGAGGAAGTACAATAGTATTCGATTTGAAAACAAATTAGCACAATTTTATTTCAAAGTGATAAAAGAAAATGATTTTTTGACTATAATAAATAACTTAAAAGAAAAATAAGAATAAATTTTAAATTTTAAAATCATTATTGGTCTTGTTAGAATGTTCTAAATAAGATATGTTGAATGGTATAATTGTTATCAAATACTAATTTTTTGTATATAAAAAGTTACAAGTAAAACTAACACGGCCGAGGAAAAAAAAAGGGAACAATGGCTATTGTTCCTTTTTCGATTGTTTCGATACCGGCAAAGGGCAATGGGCCATCACATTCGCACGTGTAAGAGTTAAATGTATAATAAATTCCTACTGAGGGAATCTATTTCTCCCTTAAATACGGCATGGGAGCTAAGACAAATCAATGCATTGGACATGTCTGCCCTATGACGTGTTCCGTAAACTATCCTAGTTCTCAATAAGATATGTTAAATGGTATAATTGTTATCAAATACGGAGTACTAATTTTTTGTATATAAAAAGTTACAACAAAAACTAACATGACAGATGAAAAAAAGGGAACAATGGCTACTGTGCCTTTTTAGATTGTTTGAATACCGGCAATGGGCAATGGGCCATCACATTCGCACGTATAAGAATTAAATGTATAATAAAATCCCATTGAGAGAATTTCTCCCTTGAATACGGCATGGGAGCTAAGACAAATCATCTGGTCCATACAACATCACTTAAACACGTTATAGAAGTTGAGACAAATCAATGCATTAGACATGTCTGCCCTATGGCATGTCCCGTAAACTAACCTGGTTCTCAATAAGATATGTTGAGTGGTATAATTGTTATCAAATATTAATTTTTTGTATATAAATAGTTATAAGTAAAACTAACATGGCAGAGGAAAAAAGGTAACAATGGCTAATGTGCCTTTTTAGATTGTTTGGATACTGGCAATGGGCAATGACCCATCACATTCGCACATGTAAGAGTTAAATGTATTAGAAATTCCCATTGAGGGAATTTCTCCCTTAAATACGGCATGGGAGCTAAGACAAATCCTCTGGTTCCTACAACATCACTTAAACATGTTAAAGAAGTTGAGACAAATCAATGCATTGGACATGCAAGCCCTATGGCGTGTTCCGTAAACTATCCTGGATCTCAATAAGATATGTTGAGTGGTATATTTGTTATCAAATACTAATTTTTTGTATACAAAAAGTTACAAGTAAAACTAATATGGCAGAGGAAAAAAAGGGAACAGTGGCTACTATGCCTTTTTAGATCTTTCGGATACCGACAATAGGCAATGGGCCTTCACATTCGCACGTGTAAGAGTCAAATGTATAATTAATTCCCACTCAGAGAATTTCTACCTTAAATACGGCATGAGAGCTAAGACAAATCATCTGGTCCGTACAACATCACTTAAACACGTTATAGAAGTTGAGACAAATCAATACATTGGACATGCTTGCCATATAGCGTGTAACGTAAACTATCCTAGTTCTCAATAAGATATATTAAGTGGTATAGTTGTTATCAAATACTATTTTTTGTATATAAAAAGTTACAAGTAAAACTAAAACGACATAGAAAAAAAGGGAACAATGGCTACTGTGCCTTTTTAGATTGTTTGAATACCGGCAATAGGCAATAGGCCATCACATTAACACGTGTAAGATTTAAATGTATAATAAAATCCCACTGAGGGAATTTCTCCCTTAAATACGGCATGGGAGCTAAGACAAATCATCTGGTCCGTACAACATCATTTAAACACTTATAGAAGTTGAGACAAATTAATGCATTAGACATGCCTTCCTTATGGCGTGTTCCGTAAACTATCCTCGTTCTTAATAAGATATGTTGAGTTGTATAATTGTTATCCAATACTAATTTTTTGTATACAAAAAATTACACGTAAAACTAACACGGCAGAGAAAAAAAGGGAACCGTGGCTATTGTGCCTTTTTAGATTGTTTGGATACCGGCAATGGGCAATGGGCTATAACATTTGCACATGTAAGAGTTAAATGTATAATAAATTCCCACCGAGGAAATTTCTCCCTTAAATACGGCATGAGAGCTAAGACAAATCATCTGGGCCGTACAACATCACTTAAAACACGTTAAAGAAGTTGAGATAAATCAATGCATTGGACATGCCTGCCCTATGGTGTGTTCCGTAAACTATCTTGGTCCACTTTCCTTTTGGCACACCATCCAATGCACTTCTTTAATCCATTTTATCTTGTAATTTGTATATTAAAAAATTATAAAAATTATATATTACCGAGTAATAATCTATATGTTAAGACGAATCAAACAAGATCACACATGACTATTTTTAGGCTTACACATTGAAAGAATTTGATGAGTCAAAGTGCTTAGATGAACAGTTCCAAAAGTCAAAAGTGGACAAAGACAAAGGGACGGAGGTAGTACTAATTTTTTTCATATAAAGAGTTACACGTAAAACTAACACGTCGTGCTAAAGCAATTTTTTAATAGAATCATGTTCCATATATATTTTAAAATGAAATATAATATGATAAAAGTAATGTTATAATACTACATAGTAGTACATAGCATTATTATTCCTATTGTTTTTCTATTGCATTAACTTTTATTTCTAAATGCATTTTTAATAAAAAAACATATTGTTATCTCACTTTTTCATGCCTTATATATACAGACATACAGACATACATACATACATACATACATATATATATATATATATATATACATAGATATATATATATATATATATATATACATATATATATATATATATATATATATATATATATATATATATTGTTTCTTTAGTTTTTATTGTAAAACAAAAAGTGATAGTTTGAATTGAAGTATTTGAAAAAATTGATAACATGTTAGATTAATTCAAACTCGATGACACTAGACTATAAATATACAGTTCTAAATTAAAATCCAATAATATCAAATACTCTGTAACCTAAACTTGATGTAATTAAACCTGAAATTGATCTGAAAGACCTATTTACTAGTTCTAGTTCTTGTAATGGGCATATAAATTTGAATTTCAAATCTGGATTTGACTCAAATTATTTGTTTGAAAAACTTAACAAATTTGGATTTGGAATTGAGTCAAAATTTTCTCATTCATAACAAAACACGATTTGAAATCTATACAACTCTCATTGTCATTTAAATTTAAAATTTCAAATTTTAGAATCAAAATTCATAAATTGAAAGTGAACTCCTAAAACTTCAGAAAAGGTTGGGCTGATTAAAAGAAAGGATGTCCCAGTCCAAAAAAGGTTTAATATTTCCGATCCGGCCCGTTAAAGCCCAATTTCTTGCTCTCATTCCCCTCGTTTGGATTCCCGACTT